AAAACCCATCATTTTTGAGTTCCACTGTCCCTTCTAAAACGCAGATCAAAATGGGCAACAGTCTCCTTAAAATGTACATATAGTATATGAATATGAATCAAAATAACATTTTATATTAAATAACTTAGAAGTGCTTAGCAAAAATTTGTACTATATATAAATGTGGTATGTTTCTTTTATTAAGGGAAGAAAACAACTAGACATAAGGTTTAAATATCTATTTACTACTAGTAATATAATGAAGTGAAAAGACTGAATTTACCTCCTCTTACAAATCCATTGGTAGCTATTGCTGAAGTAGACAAGCCTGTGATTGTTGTCACAACAGTGGCCATTGTTATTACAAGGACAGACAGACCTTTAGGGAGAAAAGAAGAGAAACTGAGAAACTTATACTCCTAAACTTGCCATTAGCTAGAACTGAATGGACTGAGCACTGAACAAACATAAATTATAAATTACCTAATTTTAATCTCACTTATGAAAAATAAAATTGGAATTATAAAAAAAATTATGGTAGCAATTCACATAATAAAAAGAAACACAGATCAGTTTCTAATCGCTTGAGTTTTGTGAGGCTATGAACTCAGAAAGGCAGAGTTATTTTGTTTATAGTGCATAAATATAACAGTATATAACTCCACCTACCTATTCCAGCTTGACCCACAATCCAAGACAATCTAATAAAGAGCATCACACCCCAAATGTTTAACATACAACGTACCTAGGAAGAAAAAAGAGGTCACATCAGAGACACAGAAACATAATTAAACACGATACAGCAGTAACACTATAAAAGCCAAACAAGATAGCATACAAGAGCTTTAAATTTAAAATCTAAGTCTTTTTCTTTAATCATTTTTAACAGGACTTAATAAGGGCTTACTGTTGAGCTAATGTAACTATGTTTATAAATAAATGTGCTCATCAGAAGCGTTGGAACAACACAATGAAAAGAAGCCTTTAATGTTTTGGTTGTTAGCCTTAGCCATTAATGGCTGTGCTATCCCTCCAGCCCAAAAGAAACCTATTAAGACTTCAACTCTTCAAAAGTTCAAATCCCAAGCTTGGCATGGTAGCACACGCCTTTCATTCCAGCATCTGGGGGACAGAGGTAGAAGCAGATCTTGTCTACATAGCGAGTTCCAGGCTGGCTGGGGCTATAGGAAGACCCTTCTCAAAAAGGCCAAAAAATAACGTTCAAATCTCTTGTTATCATGATTTTTGTTATTCTTTTATAGCATCTGTAGATTATAAGTAGTTAGGTAGAACTGAGTATTACATGGAAGGCAACATAAAATGCCAACTGACCACTATTTTTTTTTTTTTCGTCTTTTTGAGACAGGGTCTCCCCATAGCCCCAGCTGATCTGGAACGCACTATGTAGACCAAGCTGGCCTCAAACTCACAGATATCCGCCTGCCTATGCCTCCCAAGTGCTGGGATTAAAGGTGTGCGGCACCACGCCCAGCCCTACTGACCACTATTTTTAAAAAAAGAACTAAACTAAGTATAATACTCCTTTGACTTGGACATATATTCAATTTTGTGTCTTGTTTGTTCTGTTTGTATTGTTACAGCAGTAATCTGAGCACTTGGGGTTGGTGGGCAGAGGCAGGAGGATCACCGTTAAGGGTGAGGTCATATACATACAGTTCTAGGCCAGCCAAGGGTACATAGCAAGACCCTGTTTCCAAAAAAAAACCCCAACAAATCCAAACAAAACAAAACAAACTGAAAGTTTCCCCCAAAATATCAAGGACAGTGTGTGTAAATTAATTAATAAATGTATTTCTTTCCTATAAGTCATTAATTAGCTCCTCCATTGTACTCACAAAGACTTAAAATACAGAAAATTCTTTTGAGAACATTAACTAAGTTTTGTAATCAACATAAGTATTGTAATGGTCAAATTATGTATACATACTAATACACCCTTGATCCAGCCAAATTTTACAACGCCTTTACTTTCAGCAGTGTATGTGACCACAGCATCTCTGGTTGGAGTACTTTCTTCGCCATTTGCAAAACCATCCTCAAAGGGTTCCTAGTTACAAAAAGAAATGTGAATTCTGCATAAGAATTAAAATTTAAAAATCACTTGATAAAAATAAACATAACTAAGTATGTTTAACCATATTTAGAATGACATAATACAGACTTCCAAGAATCAAGTGCTATAGTTTGCCTCCCACAAAGGTTTATTAATTGAAGTTTAGTCTCCAGTATGGTGGTTCTGGGAGACACAGAATCTTAAAAGAGGGACTGGTACTAGTGCAAGGTCCCTGAAATTACCAGGGGAGTCTCCTGGAAAGGGAGTATTTGTCTTCTGGAGTAAGTTCTCCAGGGTTACTATAAAATCTAAGCCTGACTACTGAGTTTCTGTTAGGTGGTATGATGCTCACACTTGCACATGCTCCTGCTACTGCACTCCACTATGAGATGACACCATCAAGAGGAAGCCCTTCTCAAGGCCTACATCACGTTGTTTGGGCTTTTAGCATCCAGTAATATCTGTAAGTCAAACAAACTTCTTTTTTTTCCTAAGCAGCAGGTATTTGAATATAGTAATGAAGATAAATTCCTCATTATTTTACCCTAGAAAATAAAGTAGAAGAAAACCTTAATTACTGAGATTTCCTACAGTTTAAATGTCACTGTGACAGTTAAGCTCATTTTAGTATTTCCAATTTTTAAGCTCAGCATAGCGGTACACACCTATATTCCGAGCACTCAGGAAGCAGATAGGATAATCACTGGAGTTCAAAAACCGGACACTAGCTTAGACAACATGGCAAGACCCTCTCTGAAATAACAATGAAAATAATGATAAATGTTGAGATTTACACCTCGGTGGTATCTCAAGTGTACAATGAATACCGTCTGCCAGGAATAAATCAGACAGGTCAATAAATTCAGAGTTTAAGCTAGACACATGGTGATAATACTCCTGTATACTCAGGAAGCTAAGGCAGGAGGACTGTGCATTCCAGGCCAGCCTCTCCCAAGATTCAGGACAGCTTGAGTTATATAGTATGACTATGGTGTTAAAAAATAAAAATAAACCAGTTCTTGTCTCTTTAGCATAAATTTATATCGTCTAGATTCCACATCCTTTACCACATCTGAATATTAACAATTTAAAATTCTTCCACACCAGTCAATACAGCAGACTCCTATGGATCCCAAGACTCACTCAGAACCCCATCCCTCTATACTCCTTACCTGCTCCCAGTCATTCAGTAGCTACTGGCATTTTCCCTTACAACTTTCCTTACTCAGGCATGAACTGGTTGCTACAATGATTCTCAAAAGTAGTGTTTCATTCTATAGCTCTTAATTTTTTTTTCCTCCATTTTTGCCTCAGTAGTTCTCAATTTTTTTTATCCCAGTATACTCAAGGCATCTGACACATTTCCAAACTCGTAAAGCAGAGACTTAAGCAAAGAATGAAGGACAGAGGTGATGACTTGGGAGATAGACAGACGTTCCATATGTGAAGTTATGTCCCTCACACTATCACCATAGTTCTCTATCCATACTTTCAAAACCAGGGAGCACAGTTTGTTTTTTATTTTAAATGTACAAGAATCCATTTTTTAAAAACGATCTTCCTTCTAACGAACTCTAATCTTCTGGAACCTTAAGCCAAATAAACTCTTCCTTCTCTTAAAAAACAACAAAAAAAAAAAAACAAAACAAAAAAAACACCTGATCTTCATGCTTCACATCATTAGGTGAATCCCAAATAATGTTTTTTTTGTTTTTTTTTTTTTTTTAAAAAAAATTTTAAATCTTTTTGTAATTTTCTATAAATAATTATTTTATAATTTTATGGATATTGTATTGAATCTTTAGATTACTTTTGGCAGGATGACCATTTTTACATTAATTCTATCAGTCCATAGCACATGAGGTCTTTCCATCTTCTGGTATCTTCCACCTTTTTCTTCAGTGTCTGAAAGTTTCTGT